AATTTTATTTATTTAACTAAATTTGACGATTTAATTAAAATTTTTGTTAAAATTATAATATATTCTGTAGTTTCTTATGAATAAAATACAAATAAACAATTATAATCTGTTAAATAAAAAATAGTAATACCGTTACGTGTGTATTTACGGCTCCATGGGACACAAGGAGAAAAAACACACGTAACGTTACGGACGCAATCCCTAGTAACTTTTGCGGACTTCCGGTGCGGATTACGGATTACGGGTTCTATGTGACGCCGGCCTCACTGCCTTGTCTGACCGTTTTGTCGAATGGAGGGGGTAGCCTGTGCTCGTTCCAGTATGGTATATAGTTCAATGGTGTCGCCTAAATGCCTTGATGGAAAGCTCTCACAATATATCATAGGCCGGTATTCATAGTCCGTTCTTATATTTAAGATTGTCTTATAGCGTTTTCGATTATACAGGATTTGAACGACCCAGGGTTGGTTAATGACGTCATTGCAACCTCTCCACCAATGAAAGACTTGCATTTATAGTAAAATAGTGATTGATCAACCCTGGGTCGTTCAAATCCTGTATAATCGAAAACGCTATTAAGCACGGACTTATATTCGCTCTCTTCGTCACACATAGATTGTGTCTGACAAAGAGAGCGAATATAAGTTCGTGCTTAAGACGATCTTGAATATAAGAACGGACTATGAATACCGCCCATAGTAAGGTATTCGTAGATCCATGGGCTACACTGTCTCACGTAGTCAAACCGAAACATTTTGTATCTGTTTGTTGATTGGCTGTTTAAAAGTCCCTATGAATCATACTTTATACTTCTGTCATTAGTAAATCTTGTTTATTTCTGTAAAATAACATTATTTTCTTTTTTTTCAGGTGATATACAGCAGAATCATAGATAATAAAAAATAAAATTTTATTATAAATGCTGATGTTTATCGACCAACAATAATTGCCAAATAGTATGATTTTTGCGCAACGTCTGCAAGAGTGCGCCACCATCATGCACAATGGCCACGACAAGAAAGAGATCTCTGCCACGTTTACCTCCCTCCCCCCCCCCCCTCCTCCTGTGTGCGTTCTTGTCTGTCGTGGGTGATCGTCGGCGCGCTGGCTTGCGCGTGTGATGCGATTCAGTTTCTCCGGCGCACCGTTACGGGGTGAAGAGGTGATAGCGTGAGCGCCCGTCCGGTCGCCAGCGTTCCGCCAAAGGTGCCGCCGCCGCGAGTGTGATACACGGTAAGAAATTCTACAAAACTCACCGTGCAGCCCAACCCGCGAGTAATGATCAAGTGAGCGAGCAGCGAGCCGGGGATCGCCGACAACACCCGCGGTCGCGCGGCGACGCATCGCGGATCATGGGTCTGTGAGGGCGGTATCCTGAAGGAACGGGGACCCCCGAGAAGGGGAGGATCGCCGTGCACAGGGACGAGGACGACGGGCACAGGAAGCGCGGGTTAGCTAGGAGCAACGGCGGGGAAGAAGGGCGGCAAGTAACGCCGGGGACAGAGAAGGCGAGCCCGTGGACTCGCCGACGCTCTCTCGCGTGCACACCCGCACGCACGCCCGACCGACCGGCTGTCACGACCGCCATGTTACCCCGGAGCAGCGGCGGTGATACGTCGAGTGCGCGGTCACTGGCACCGTTGCTCTTCTGCCTCCTCGTGCTCGGCGCGGCCGGCCTGGACGAATCCGGTAAGTCAATCCGCGGCCGTGTGTCTCTCCCGCGAGAGAGAGAAAGAGGGGAAACGCGATAAGGCGCGCCGGGACGCGCTCCGCGTACGTCCGCACGGATCTGTGCGATCGTTTCACTTACACTTTTCGTTACTCCGCGTTAAAATCAGAAGAGCGTGAACGGCGAAAATGTTCAGAACGAGGGATTTTGTTTCTCGGGGAATATTATATAATTTTTGGATTACATTGCGTTCGGATGCGAGCGATGCGATTAATTCTCGCACGGGAGAAGGTGGAAATGCGAGATATGATAATGCCCAGGATTGAATTTCAATGACGGATTGGCGCTGGTATACTTTGAAGCTTTTTCCGAGAACTTCGTTATGTTATGTGCGTATAAATAACAGATGCGATTAGGCATCGAGAGCCGGGAAAAAGCACGTGGAAAATCGCACGCCGCTATGCGCGATCGATTAAAAGCGCGGCTACATCGAATGCATCGAATAGTATATGAGATTCGGAAATTCTACGAACTTAGTATTCCGTCCACAAAAGCGCGTGAAGGAATTCGTAGATACATTTCTATAAAGATATTTCGCGCCCGCATTGTTACGATCAAGCGCGAATATTTATCACAAAAGTAGCATTTTATTTCATCTTTTTTTTTTCACGCGTAATATTATATTTGCATGACACGAAATGTGCAAATTGAAATTTGAAGAATACAAATTTCGAGCTCACAAATTTAGACACAATCGTCGTCCTTCGCGGCTGTAATAAAGCGGCCAGATTTTCTGTCAGATATCGCGGAATATTCCGTCATTTCTTAGAACGAGGAAAGCGTGACAGCACTATATTGTTCCACCCAGCAAGTCGGATAACTCGCCTCTTACGGATGGAACTCACTTCGGCGAAAAACCTAATTCCGCCGTTTAATTCCAGCTAACGCTAGCGTTTATCCGCTCGTCACCATAATCAAGCTCGTCGCGCGGTATTTGGACCCCGTCCATCTGCGGTTCCGCTTTTCGCGTGGCATTGACAATTAGGCCGGGCCGAAATTATAATCGTCCGCTCCGGTGATGCACGCCCGCGTCAACGATGTGCCAGGTGGTTGTGCGAGGGGAGTTGTTCGTTTACGCGCAGTTCTCTGAAGATCCACTTGCGGCTCGAGGATGAAAATAACCACTCGAAGACTCTTTTCCACTCAAACCGTAGTTAAACGACAGCATTGAGCTGATTTAAGGAAACCGCGCGTTCGCGCGCGCACGTACGCTTAAATGTACGTATGCACTTAAATAGACCGTTTGATAATATGCGTCACAATTCGTGCAGCATTTCTGGCAAAGAACAATTTTTTCAAGAATATTCTGATAAACATCGATAGCTCTTAGCATGCTGCTGATAAAAAACAAGGCGAGTTGCGTTGTCAAGATATAAATAGATGTCACGCAATAACAGCCTAATCGTCAGGTAATTTAGATAAAGCTTCGTTCTAGCTGATACGAATGATATTGTCAACACGTGTGAATCTAAAACTTTCAAATTCTGGAGAAGCGCACGTTATTGTTTAATGAAACCTCAGCCGTTCAATATCGCCCTATTCGTCGAATGCATCTATTATCGTTGCGCACGATTGCGTTATCATATCATTGTATCGTATTTATATTATACATTTACGCACGGCTGTGTTATCGTAGCGATCAACATGTGTGTCATACGTGGATAAGTCAGTGTGCGTCGCAGGGAGCGTGTCTAATCTGTGTTTGTAAGGGCTGTAGGCAGCGTATGTGTACGAAGCATGCGGGGGCGGTCGTTGGCATTGGACATGCCACATTGTGGAAATAATCTAGCGAGATGCGCGAGGAGTGAATGCGCCACTTACGATGCTTTTCTCCCGGCAAATCGTGTTACATTGCAGAAAGAATTCCGTATCAGGTTTATCGAGAGAATGTGGCTCGGGATAATTTTTACGAGATTATTGATTGATTTCGGCTTCCGATGCCTGGCAGCGCGATGAGGAGGCACTTGGAGGCGGAATAAAAATAATGTAAAATATTACCAACCTTCGATGCGGACAATTAAATAACGGAATTAGAAATTAGATCCCCGATATGAATAAGAAGAAATCCGATCGGATGGAAACGATGGAGCTTCGATAATTAAAAGAACGAGTGCTTTTCCGCCGTCCATCTCTCTATTCATCGAAAATGAACGGTCGCGGAGCATTCAGCGAGCTATGCTAAATTTGATTTCATTGATCGCGTAAGAATAGCGTATGGGAATTAAAGGGGCGAGCGCCAGGTAATCGAATTCGATGGGATCGAATTTGTTATCAAATTATCCCGCGTAACTACTAGAAATAAATTCTCACATTATGTAGATCAAAGTCTCGAATTTTGTTGATCGCAGTAAGTGTAGAGAAACCGGAAGTACTGGAACCGAAGATCGAGCGGACGGCATCATTAGAGATCCGTTCGTCGCAGGATATGGAGGGTATAGAAGCGGGCAGCACACCGTCGCTGGTGTGCAAGCTGAACGTGCCGGGTCAGGTTTGGTGGAGCACCGGCGACAGAAATCTCACCACCGTCAAGGATTTCGAGTATATCGGACGGCTCGACATCAAGAAGGCCAGCAGGAACGACACGGGCGAGTACAAGTGCTCCGCGCTGACCGCCGACGGCGAGTCGCTCGAGAAGACCATCCATATCAGAGTGATAGGTATAATAAATCTGTTGATCTGTTGAAATATCTTATCTATTCCGCATTCCAAGATACATTACGCATTTAGAATTTTAACCGCGCGATAAAAGATATCACCGTTATAAAATGTCATCGCAATAACGAAATCGGTCGCCATTAGAGTGTCATCTCTCGTTTCCAGAACCCGGCAAGATAACATCCGGCGGGGACACGAGAGCGAAAGTGACGGAAGCGGCCAACTTGACGTGCCACATACACGGTTATCCATTATCTCAATTTACTTGGTTAAAAGGGAATGATTCAGAGAGCAGCGAGCACTTGAAGAATCTCACCGTGGTCACGCCGATAAATGAGACCTATGCCGTCTTGACCCTGGAATTCAAGAGTCTGGCGCGCAAGGACAACGGCACGTACGTCTGCCAGGCGAACGACTACAGCGGGATGGTGAGCGCCGCGGCGCATCTATTCGTCATCGATCAGCCGCAGGTCAGCATAGACTTCATGAAGGCGGTCGGCGCCGGGAGTATATTTTTAAATTGGACCGTCAACGACGGCAACGAGCCCATCCAGAAGTATTTCATCCAGCACATGAAGAAGGGCACGGATCAGCGTCAGTACTACGCCGAGCACATCGGCGGCGGTAACTCGAGTTACGTTCTCAAGGGATTCGAGAGTAACACCGCGTATCAGATCGGCATCAGCGCCATGAATAAGGTGGGCACGTCGTTTCTGCAATTGGACCCGCGGTGGATCACCACGCTTGAGAAAGGTATAGAGAACGTTCGTAAATTTCCTCTCAAACGCTTGCTGTTTTCTAATTTTATTTAATCGAATAAGTAAATTTAATTCGTTAGTTTTAATTTATTTTTGGTATAATTTGATATCGAAAATCTGTTGCAGACCCGGTGTTTGTGCCGAAAGTGTCCGTGAACGGTGTGACGGAGAATTCGATCACGATAGGCTGGACCGTGCCGCCGCCAGATTTGAAGGAACACGTGCACTACTACAATTTGATGGCCACTCACGCCGATCAGAATAGAGAAGCGGTGTATCCCGCCCAACCCGTCACCGTGTACGCGTTTATGGATCTCGACCCGGCGACCACTTACAAATTTAAAATAGCCGCCTGCAGCGAATACACGAAGCAATGTGGCAATTGGAGCATCGAGGTAAACGGCACCACACTGGACGGAGGTACGTCGGCACAAGAAACGTGAAGAAAAGTTATATTTTTGAGCTATCGATAAAATGATCTCTCGCTCTTTTAGTCGCCAGTCCTCCGAAGAATCTCGTCGTTACGTGCGGCTACGATAACATAAGCAGCTCCAGTTTCATGTCTATCACGTGGAAACCGCCAGAGAAACCTAACGGCATTATACAGCGTTACACATTGCAATTGAATGGCGTGGCAAAATTCAAGAATGATATGGGACTTTTGGATATCGATAGCTTTGAACAACCCACCAAGAGCGTCTCCAAGAGGAACAGCACGCGATACAATCAAATACCTTCCAATACAAATTATACGGTATGTAACTTGATTACTCGAGCTTGAATTATTTCTTTCTCTTTATTAAACTCTTAATTTCTCTTTATTAATTTCCACGAGCAAATTTTCTCAATTATTTTTCAATTAATTCTCAATAATTTCTCAATTATCTTCAATTTATTAAATTGCTATAAAAGTAGTTCGGTGACGAATAAGTTTCTGACATTCCGTGAATTAAAAAAAATAAATGCTCGATCGAAGATTCGGGTGCACGGAGTGACCAGATCTCGCACGCCCGGCAAGGACGCCGTGGGCAACTGTACGACACCAGTTACGATTCCGGATCGCGAAAGCATGAACATGCGCAACTGGCGCAAGATCGAGAGCGAGGGCAGGCAGCTATTCAAGCTCTATCTACCGCGCATCTCCGAGCGGAACGGTCCTATTTGCTGCTACCGCGTCTATCTGGTGAAGCTGTCGCCGCATAAGACGGTCAGCGATCTGCCGCCTCCCGAGGAGATGGCGGTGTACTCTTATCGGTACGCGCACAGCTCGCCGACCGGCGGCGCCTACGTCGCCGAAACGTTCGACAGCGATCAACTGTTGACCGAGGTCTTCCTCGGCGATGGCGAGTCGTCGAACGGTGGCGCGATGTGCGACAAGTGCGTCGGTTTGCGACCCAGACCGGTGCCACCGCCAGTGCTAGAATTTGTCCCGGAGAACCCGTCGACCACCGTTTCGACTTCGACCCACGCGAACAACATCAACGCCACAGTGACGACCACGCCGATACCGGCGACGTCTGTGACCGGCGGCAACACGGCCACCACATTCACTACGTCAATGACGATTCCTATGACTGCGAAAGCAGACACGACCACTGCTGTGCCGATGATCAGTAATGCGACGGAAAAAGTAGCGAGACGGAAGAGGGAGGATTCACCCGTGCAAAAAGCGTCTGTGGACGAATCCGGAGAATCCATCGTACCGTCTCAGGATGGCTTCCTCGACGAAACGTCGAACTACACCGGTTTCATTGAAATCATCGGTACGTATAATATGCGAAGCGTCAATAAAACTGTCAATTGTATCGATATACTTGACAATCGATAATCTTTTGCAGTTTTCGGCAATCAGAAGGATCAGTTTCTGCCGGCATACAGCAGTTATTTCAATCCTCTGTACGGCGGAGTGGATCCTCTCAGCGTGATAGCCGCGGAGGCGACTACTGTCAGAGAAGTGATAATACAGCTCTTCATCGCTCTGATTTTAACTCTCATGATCCTGTTCATCGCGCTCTGCGTGCTATACAGATTTACGAAACGCGCGCAAGAAAGGGAGGAAGTTATAACGCTACGCAACAGTTTCAGGTGAATACTAATAAAAGTTTGAAGGCTTAAAAGTTGTTATTTTAGAAGTATAAAAAAGTTATGCAGTCTTCTGCAAATATTTCGCAATAAAAATTATTTAAAAGTCGCAATAAACTATTTTTATAACGGACGCTTTTTGTTTAATAATATTATAGAAAGATTTTATTAGATTATTCGGAAGATTTTCTAGTTTTTTAATTTTATTTGCATAGAAAAAATGAGAAAGCTTTGAACAATATAATTTAAAATGATGTAAAATGTAAAATAATGATGATTACTAAATTCGGCACTTTCTAAATTATTCCTTATCAAAGCTTTTTACAAAATACAGCGTATATCTGATGAATATCCGTTCTCTACAGACATCTTTGTAGGAGTCTGAGAGGCAGGCACCAGCTCGTGGCAGCGAGTCCGCCGGATATGCCGCCCGTACCTAAGAACGAACTGCTGCAGGCGTACTTGGAACGGCATCGGGACTCGGACTACGGTTTCCAACACGAATTCGAACTGTTACCCGACCGATTCACGGACAGGACGACGCGCGCGTCCGAGGCGCAGGAGAATCTCTACAAGAATCGCTATCCGGACATTAAGTGTTACGATCAGACGAGGGTGCGCCTGGCGCAGATAGACGGTATCTGCGGCTCCGATTACATCAACGCCAACTTCGTGCTCGGCTACAAGGAACGCAAGAAGTTTATCTGCGCCCAGGGCCCAATGGAGAATACTGTGTGCGATTACTGGCGCATGATCTGGGAGCAGCATCTCGAACTCATACTCATGCTGACGAACCTCGAGGAATATTCCAAGACCAAGTGCGCCAAGTACTGGCCGGACAAGCGCGAGACCAAGAACTTCGGCGACATCACGGTGGAGCATGTGAAGGAGCGCGCGTACTCGGATTACGTGGTTCGCGAGCTGAAGATGACGCGGTTAGGCGAGCGTGACGCCCGCGCGATCGTACAGTATCACTTTCTCGTGTGGAAGGACTTCGTCGCGCCCGAGCATCCGCACGCGATACTACGCTTCATCAAGCGTGTCAACGAGGCGTACTCGCTCGAGAAGGGACCGATCCTGGTGCACTGCAGCGCCGGCGTAGGCCGCACCGGCACGCTCGTGGCGCTGGATTCCCTGCTGCAGCAGCTGGCCGAGGAGGGCCAGGTGTCGATTTTCAACACCGTGTGCGACTTGCGGCATCAGCGCAACTTCCTCGTCCAGTCTCTCAAGCAGTACATCTTCATCTATCGCTCGCTTATGGAGATGGCGCAGTATGGCGATACGGAGATCCCAGCATCGCAGCTCAAGACGACGGTTGCTAAGCTCAGGCAGCGGGACAACGGCAAGGAGAAGTGCAGAATGGAGGAGGAATATGATGTAAGTGTACACAATGTAGAGAATTTGCTTCAATCAATTTTGTTGAAAAAAATGATTTTTTCCCTTTAACGTAACACGCACAATTTCTGTTTGCAGAAAATTAGTTCCGTGTTGGAAGATCGGAAGTCCTTCTCTGTCGGCGGCGGAGAGGAGAATAGAACGAAGAACAGAAGCGAATTGGTAATACCATACGACAGAAATCGCGTAATACTCACCCCGATTCCGGGCAAAGAACACTCGACGTACATTAACGCGTCGTTTATCGAAGGCTATGATAATTCCGAGTCGTTTGTCATTACGCAAGATCCGTTAGAAACCACAATAACAGATTTCTGGCGAATGATCTCGGAACAATGCATCTCCACAATAGTTATGTTATCTGACGTAAGTGCATATAATGTACAATTTTATCTTCTCATTTCTTTTGTTATATTTAATATAAAAAAATTACGTTTGAGTTTTATTAATTTCTGCAAGAAAAAAATATATAAACACTATGAATATTGCGTATTAATATATCTATGGGGTACGCAATTTCATACAGCTTTTAGGATATTAATAAATGGTGTATTTTTTCATGTTGATTTTCTGTTAGCGCAATCAATGTTGCTCTGAATATAGCAACGTTCAAATAAATATAATTTAATTGATATAAAAAAAATAATTTCCTTGATAAATGATTAATTTTTTCATTAAAGTAATACATATATCGTAATATTTCTGGATTATGCATAAAATTCTTTACAATCGGGTGAAAAAATGCTAGGGTCCCCGATTTAATTAATAAAAAATAAGTGTATATATTTAGAGAAAATTAGATTATAGATACATTAGACTTATATCGTCTGAGCGTATGACATGTATAAAATAAATAATATTTTTTCCAGTTAAACGAAGGGCCACGTAAATGTCCACGCTACTGGCCCGACGATGAGACCGATTACGATCATATAAGAGTCCGTTACATCCATAGTGAGAGCTGTCCGTACTATACACGTCGCGAGTTTTGCATTTTGAACACGAAGACTGACGAGAGCAGCGTCGTGAAGCAGTATCAGTATCACGGCTGGCCGACGGTGGAGGGCGAAGTACCTGAAGTGACACGCGGTCTCATCGAGCTGGTGGATCAGACGCTGACGAATGACATCGAGAGCATTGGTTCGCTGGTCGTGCACTGCAACTATGGATCGGATCGAAGTTCCATGTTTGTGGCGCTCAGCATATTGGTTCAGCAATTGCGCACCGAGAAACGCGTGGATATCTTCACAACAACGAAGAAACTGCGCTCGCAGCGGCACGGCATGATCAGCACCTTCGTAAGCATCTAAATAGTGTTTTCATATAGTTGGACAAGTTATTTATTCGAAGAAAGACTCAGAGAAAACATATGATACGTTAAAGAATTTAACATTTTATGAATTTTAGCACAAAAGTTGGGCATTTCTGTGTGAAAACTTGATGAATTATCACACAATGCATATTTTAGAAATTATATATATATTTTAATTGAAGTATATGAAATATAATTATATATCTGTTCTTTTATTTTTAATTATGAATTATAAATGACATCATGAATTACAATTTTGAGAACCTTAACTAAATGTCATAATTGTATTAACGCTGTTGTTACATGTTGCAGGCGCAATACGAGTTTCTTCATCGCGCAATCGTGAATTATTCGGATCTTCACAACTTGGCCGACGATGAACCGGTATCATAATACCTGAGAAATAGCAAACAAGACTAGATTTGTTCTAAATACTCTGTTTGGGCGAACATGCGTGAGGACGTTCCGTGACGAGTGTCCGAGGATCCACAAACATTCGAACAAACGCGTATCGCCCCAACCAAAGATGAACAAGCATCGACGAAGGATCATTGACGCCATCATCATCACCATCGCCATCAAGCAGACGCATTCTGCACAATGCGAGCTTGTCGCGTCGCATCCAGAAACTACTTGTACATAATATACCTACAGATTTTACATGTCCTGACCATAAGTTAACTGTGAAAGAGAAGCACTGACTGGAGATTAACTGGAAATTCAGCAAAGGTGATCCTAACACGCGGATTTCCAATGTGACAGACGCAAAGTGCAGTGCGTGACGGCGTCACGAAACTGTTAGAAGCTTATTTTTATCGATAGTCTAATGATCGAACCGGAGGGTAACGTATCTATAGTGTGTTGAAGACATTTTGTGATCGAGATACGACGTTGAGAATTTTCGTCAGCGAACCCTCGACAGCAAAAGGACTAGCGCAACAGGAAAGGACGGGTGTACTTTACGACGAGTGTATAGGTATGATATATATGCATTCTTTAAGTACATGAGCTCGAGCTCCGAACTGCATCCTTCTCGCAGTTGAAACAAAGCGACGAAGGAGCTCAACATCGCAATTATTCGCACAATCCGAAAACTGATCACGAAAATTTCCAGTGAAATACATCCCGACAGCCGATACAGAACATTTTCTTTCGAAGTGAGCGAGGCGGAGTTAAGCTAATCCAATTATCTTTGTTCACGCGGAGAAAAACTTTGGAAAAAAAATGTTTCTGCAACGGGGATGCGGGATGTCGCTATTTTATGATCTGTCGTAATGAGTAATATTAGTGACTACACGCGCGTTGCGCGTATATTTATACGTTCTTCGATGATATATGCGTTATTATTACGATGTATTGCGCGTATCACGCGCACGCTGATTTCTCTTCTAAAAGGAAAGACTGATAGTCTTATTCGGTTCGAAATACGCGACTAGAGCACATACCTCGTTTGCACAACATTGAGATTTCGCTGTCAATCGTAATATTGTGACTACAGACGGACGGGAGAGTAGGATGGTTATCCTTTTTTTTGCTTTTCGTATATGAAGAAAATTTATAGATATACGCGTTGCACTTTTCTAGCGCGCGAAAACAACACGAGGACTATGCTCGCGACTTAAGTCGAATACTGAATGGGCCGGGCAGGAAGACGTGAAGTATAATTTGCAACGTACGCTGAAAGATGTATTTCGAAAGCGAGATAGAAAAATATGATGCACAATACTTTCGAAAATCTGATTTACGATACTAGATGCAAAATGGTGTTCGACAATTAACGAATATATTGTGTTCGAGTTACTGCCCGGCCCTGCGAAGAGAGACGGCAGGAAAATTGGCGGCGTCGATATAAACGAGGAGTAAAAAAAAAAAGAATAATAAAAATTGTAGATTAAGCGGCAAGAGAGGAAAGGATAGAATTACGCGTTTAATTTTTCCGCACGTTCGTTCAGTTCTAGTCAAGTTTAAGCTCCAGTACGTGCGCTGCCAAGCCATAGCCATTTCAGGAGGCAGGAGACAATCACGTTAATTACGATTCGCATCGCGTCGCCCGATTATTTCCTTTTTCTTTCCTTCTTCGCAGGTATTAATTTCATTCCATTTTAACTGGAGATCCTCCGATAAGAGACACGAATTAACGCGTCCTCGGAAAAAAATCACAATTTTAACAATCATAAATCTTTTGGACGGAAATTCGCAGGAAAGGAATAAACAAAATCGGCAAATCAATGTGAAAAATTAAGATATAAGTTCTATACTTTTCTTTTTTTTTTTTCCAAATTACTTGCAACAAAATCTATATTTCTTTCGATCGTGATGCTCTCACTTGGAGGAATCCGGCGTTATTTCGCGACTCACATTGGAGAGTTCATTTTAAACGTTAAACGCGCTGGATGGATACGTCCCGCCTTATTACGCGACAAATAGATATATTAGTTTTTAGTCGTTACTGCATAAAAATCTCGCTTCGGTTACGTAGTTGGTAAAGCGCCTCTAAAAGAGATAGGATACTCGCCGCCTGTATTTATAAATATATATACATTGTTATTATCGCCTATCGCTGTTGCTATTGATGAATAGTGTGACAATACTTGTTCGTGCCCCCCCCTACCCCCCTACCCCCCTCTTCACCCTCGATATATCGGTTGTTATACGTACGTTCTCCGCGGGGTACGTCACGCGATGTTTCGTTTCATTTTAATTGACATCCGATTGTAATTACTTTCGTCGGGTGTTATTCATTATACTTCCTTAGTTGGGCTCGTGAACAGCAGTTTGCAAACTGCTGCTAAGAAGTGTCATGTGAATAAAAGTAAAGTGAAATTCGAAAGGTAGCGAGAATTTTGTTTCTATTATTGTTATAAATAGCAAGTGTTCTTTTCCACTTATACGCTTCCATATAATTTGATATAATTTTGTTACGAGCGAATGTGTTTTGTCATTACTCTATTTTTTATATATATAATCATATAATTACCCCTTTTGTTATCACATATTCATATAGATTTGTTATATGTTTATTCGGATATAAATATATGAATAACAATAATATTTATATCTCTTGCATCTACCTTTCGATTAATTTACTGTACATTTTTATTCCGTGACTTATTAATTATGGCTTCCTATTATTTACAGCAGCAAACGGCATTAAAGCGTCGATCTGATTAATCAGTAACATAAAACTATTGCGACCAATTGGTGGCTGCCAATGCAGCTACTATTACAGATGTACCTTTCACACTTAGTATTTTATTTTATTGCGCTACGCTTTCTTTTTTTTTTTGTTTTTTTTTCCGGTTACTGTAACGTTACAATACACGTCACGCGGACGGGAAATCCTCGATCTTCGATCGAACGTTTCGTAGTTATCTCCCACGGATTAATGTGTAATCTCCGAAAAACGCCTAATTGACAAAATTGTAAGAGAAAAAAAACGACTCTTGCACAGCAGAATTCCGCTGGCACTTTATAGCTCTTCACGATCCGTTATCTTGTTTTCACACGAGAGTTTCGTCAACTTCGAGGTATCTCTTCTGTATATTGCGATTCTCGTGCAATCCTTTCAATCTCGATCTTGAGATAACCAATCATTCCGCCAGAAATCTTTCGGAGAGGCACAAAGTCCAGCCGACGCACTACTTAACTAAAGATCGGCGAAAAAGTATCGATTAAGCATAGAATTACATTTATGCTAATGAATGATGAGAGGCGTCGTAAACGTCGTAACGATGATATATTTGGAGATTTGTGTTTATCTTTAACACAATCCTGTAAAAAAAATGGGTGACGCAAGAGAAATCAGCAGAAATTCTACGAGAAGCTGATCTTTGAAATAAAAGATAGCTTGAACTTTTAAAATCTTTCTCATTGTTTTTTGTTCCATTTTTTTATCTTACGACTTCTTCGACAAGTTACAAATTTTAATTTTGCGACTATCTCCTGACTAATTTTGTTCCAACAAAGGTTTCCGTATGACAAACGATGTGGGCAATAACCTTCCGACGTTTATTTAATTGTAAGTTATATAATTCTTGAATTCACGGCGCAGTTCCGAATAGAACGAGATGATAAACAATGCCGAATCGTAAATGACGTTTCTCGATTGTAAAACACGAGAATAGTATTCTTGTATTGTCGTATAGCGAAATTAATGTCTCGTCGAGTTAACGTATTTTTATTTAAAAAGAAGAAAAAGACGGAAACCACGCGTTACAGAAATAAGATTCGAGTACACACCGAAGTAATCGCTAACTAATTAATTAGCATAATAATAATTCCCTTTTGATAAATCGAGTGAATGACGTCGACTCCTCCTGGTCAAGCGCGGATGTCATTGGGGTCCGACAAACCCCGCGCGTCGCGTTGTTGTTGCAAGCGTAACTCTATTTTTACATTAAAAATTTTTGCATTCAAAAAAGGCGAACAAAACGAAACTGCTTATGCGGAAGAAAAGACGACGGTTCGTTTTTCCCGGGGACGAAGTCAGCCCGGGAGGAGATTCACCGAATTTCCGCCGCGGCCAGGAAGGGTGGAGCGAGTTTTTCATACAATTGCGATGAGGTTCGATACGCGAATAATACTCTCGGTTATTTGCAAAACTGATAATTAATAAACTTGATACTGTGAAGTTCCCACTGGTGTCGTATGCGTGCAAGATTATGTTAATGTTTAACGATACGAGGCCTATAGATAATGAGGTGTACACGCATCATCGCGCGTAATCGACTGGAACGTGTTGCGCGAATGAGGAAGGAGCGTGCCCCTGTGAGGACGTGTGCGTGACGTGTGTTATGTGTTTTAAGAAGTCCGTAAGGATCGAAGGAGACGGCGGTTAAAACGAAACATATTTAAACGCGCAAAACGACGTCGAGGGACGTCGCGTCGACGCTAAATTCGTCCTGACAGCAACGGTGCATCGAGTTGCAATATATCAATTATGATCCATATTCTTATTATAGATTTAGATCTGCATCGAGCAGGTGTTGTTTCAAGTAGAGAGTAATCGCGATTGAATTTTTCTACCTTCACTAACGGCGGATGTCGGAAGTGTGGCCAGAAATTGCGCCAGCACGATTCGACAAGCTCCGCGAGTTTTGAATCGGCGAGAGATCGCCGATATTTCTACATCCAAATCACCGCCGTCTCCGTGTTCGTCGACTATCGATAGGCTCGAATTTTGTAAATTAACTTAACGGTTAAGATAGCACACGGGAAGTACCGCCGCGTATTACATTAACAATTACGTTCGTACATGATAACAAGATACAATTATAAGAGACATTTGCTATATATAGTCTTAGATTTTGTATGATATTCACACGAAGAAGGGAAAGCAAGGATCACGCTGAAAGATCTATATCTGTGAGATATTAAGTGTACTGATAAGAGGGCAATCGAGTAATTAACGCACACTAACCAGATTGAAATCGAGAGAAACGACGCCCCGGATAGGCACATTCGCGAGAGTTTTGTCTCAACGAGAATCGCTCTCGGGGAATAAAACTCGCGCGAATGCGCTTCTGCGACAGCGCTCATCATCGAATCACTCTTTTGTATGAAAAGTTGTAAAGCGATATCGGTAACAGTGCACTCGATGTGAAAGGAAATACATGACACAATAATGAGCCGTAGTTTGTCTTTCGTTTTTCTTCCTATTATTTTTCTTTGCACAAAAAGGGAGGTTTGAAAAAAAAAACATATGTAACAACGCGTTATCTTAAAAAAAAGTGAAAGAAAAACCGTAAAATTATTTAATTTTAGTCATCGAAATTGAGGCTATAAGAAATTATATTATAACAGCATAAAATATGAAATATGATCAAATTCACAAGTACAATTGCAATTCTTTTTCACAAATGATTTCATATTTAAGAAATTTATATTAGATAATGAATTACTAATTATTTTTTTATATTTTTAATGTTTTTTTGTAATTTAAATTTTAAAAATAAACTTATTATAAAAGAGATAATAAGAATGATTTCCTTTTTAAAGAATGTACCGTTTACAAAGTACAATACACTTTATTCTAGCTGTGTCCCGACAAATGACCCTATAACGGTCGTGTGCATCGTTGCCAATAATTAAGCAACGGTTCACTGACTGCTATAAAACGCTACCATGTGCGAGTGTTCTTTATTTAGGCGGGTCGCAGTTATTCGCACGACATTTCCAGGAATTGTAAAATTGCTGCTATTAAGTAACAATAAAATTTGCATAAACATTTTAATGCACGAGTTTATGACAGCGAACCGAGTTACCTATGTCAATAATGTGATTATTTCTAAACAAACTTCCTAAATAGCTTTTGTTCAAAAAGTACCATCTGAACACAAAAATATAAATTCAGATTTACTTCATCCTGAAAAAAATACAAATAATTTGTAAATTTAAAAAAAGATAAAATACGTCAAGGCTAAAATTGATTATTAATTTGAAAAGTTTTATAGAAATAAATTCCTTTAAATTCCCTTCAAATTCATTTATTTTGCTTGCGACGAGACTGACGTAATTGCTTGTGGAAAGAATCAGGAAATGCGTATCGTGTTCGTCGAGTGTATCACGATTTCTAGTCCACGCAGACGGCAGATCCTTTTCAAAACAATAATAATCGCGGGTAATCAATGGATGCCTATCACCTAACGGCTCATATTGGCTGGCTGATCGACGAACCGCGATTCCGCACGTGATGTATCGTTATTTTATCAGTCCATGTAAAATTCTTTCTTTGTTGCGCAGTAAATAAACTACCAAAAAAAGAATGGTACAAATTATATAAAACTCAAAAGATTTCAATATAAATACAAAAACTGACCTCTATGTGTATCGAAAACGAGCAAAATGCTATTCTCGTGTTACATGAAATTCAATTAATCATAATTAAACCTGTTTTGATCCCTCCATCAACCGATCTTGCGGTACGTCGTGATTTCCTCTTACCTCATACGGCGAAGTACAATTATGATAAAACACCTGAAGCTCTCGATACGGCCGTTGAAGATCCGCGGGGTAAATCGGGTTACCGGCATACATTCGAAATTCCGAAAGGAAATTCGTCCCGTCTGCTCATGTCGGAACGAGATTGGCGAGATGCCTGGTAAATTTAATTTCCTTGATCTTAATTAATCCGCACGGTGTCCTTGTATCACAAGTAGCATAATCAAATGTACAAGATGCTCGCGAGTAATTTCTACTGCAACAGACTGAAAGAGGAACCGGTTATTCCGATATCTACATCTCAGGTATTCCAAAATCTTTATTTTAATTTCAACGAAATTATTTCTTTTTATACCATTCTATTTTTTCATTTTTATCTTGGAATAATTCTTCACGAGATGATAATGCGAGGATCCACTCGCGATGCCTAGAAGATTAGGGCCACAGTTCCGGATGGATGATCAAATGCGGAGCTCAAGTAGACAATATAGATTTTATCACCAGTGCGCCGATGGTTATATATTCAAATCAACATTGTCGAATGTGGATCGTCACGGATCATACAATTCAGGCCTTGGGGGGGTTTTGGGTACATCCGTTATATTACATGTGCATATGCATCGAGTCAAGTAAAATACTGCTTTAACGATGCCGGAATATATAATACTATATATATATATATATATATCTGCGCAAGTGGGTCATTTTGGACGAAGGGATTCGTAATAAATGATCTCGATTCAAAGGATTCGACTGCATACTTTGTAACTCTTTCCAAAAAAAAAATTCCAAGCTTCAATGTCGGTGAAAAATGAATTTAAAAAAAGTAACAGGAGCTCGTTCTGTAAAGTTAATTGTGAGAAATGGTTAGATTAATGGCTAGAGAAGACATTGAGAAACGGCTAATTAGAAGACATTGAAGAGGATTCGTTCTGCAATGTTAAATTTCTAATCTTCAAAATCTGAGATTGAGAAGCCTTTTTATCCTCAAAATACGGATAGCATGTTACGCTTTTTTTTACAAATAATTAAAAAATAATAATTTTAATAAAAGATCATTTAATAAGCCCAAAGATTAGAAATTCGTAACTTAAAAAATAAAATCAATTTCTTTCAATTAGCAGATTTGCAGGGAAAAAGTACAATGTATGACCGAATGACAGCGATTAATATCTTTACGAAGTACCTGTCTACATTGTTGCGTTTTCGCGTGGATTCGCCCGATATGGGGGGGGGAATGTATACCGGTGAAGGAAGTTAATTCAGTCCATGCACAGTAGTACCTTTGCAAACGGGCTCGACAATCCGCCTCGAGCACGCGTGTTTTCCGCGTCTTCGACCCAACGCAATTACGTATCTGCCGCGAAAGAGGCTTGATATCACATGTGCGGGAGCTGCGTGTGTGTATAACGTAGGTCGATTTATTTAACCCTTTGATTGCCACGGGCAGTTGTACACGTGTCCAATCGGGCGCGATCTCTTTTTATCAGTGTAAATGAATAATAAAGTAATTCCAATGGCACGCCGTTGTTGCTTCTTTCGGGAGGAACTGAATCTGTCCCGCGTGTGTCTTCGAAAATTATCACTTTAATTAAAAATGTTAATTTTAAAATAATATACTTTTCTCGTTTAACATGTATTGTAATTCGAGCACTGTGTGATTTTCACGTTGTGTTCTCATCCGATCTCTTCGTCATTGGAAATTGTATAATCGAAGAGACGCTGCAACAATAATGAGAAACATCTTTAACATTCCTTGTGAGTAAAATATAAAACACTAAGTGACATTCAAAAGTGAAAAATGATTTTTGCCTGCATCATCAACATCACGGAAGACAGAGGAGAACTTTTAATTTTACACTCTTTTTTTCTGCGTATACGCAAGACTTCGCTTTGATAAAAAACAAATGTTGGTACTAGTCAATATCTTAATTATTTCAATGAATCAAATATTTGATTATTCAACTACAAAAGCACATGATTTATTCACTGAAAAAAATATTAAAAACAATATAAAAATTACATTTGTAAAGATATTTTTAAAAATTATTATGAAACATATGAAAAAAATATATAATATGTATATAAGTACGTTTTAAATTGTTTGATTGAAAAATAACTATACGTACGAGAAAGAAGCGTTAATTAACGGACCATTAAATGTTCAGACAATCCTTTCCTTCGATAGATGCTAATAGCCCTTAAGAGCAATTCGATATGAATTTATCGCGAGGATCAAAGGCGTCGTGGCCGGCAGCGTTAATATCATTGATCATTGTCAATGTTCGATCATGCGACGCCGAGACGAGCGGGGAATATCTTCAGAAAGTGATGATTGAGCTTCAGGAATTAAATGTGCCGTCTAACAGTCTGACGATGCATGATCGATTGTCGATGAATTTGGATTATCCGCACGCGGGCTATCATGCTCGTCCGGACAACACGTATCGCAAGCTCAGCTCAGACAGTGCTCATCAGGATATCAAGCAACAGGATACGCAGAAACCGACTGCGAGCGTACCTGCCGACCTGACTCACTCCGCTGCGAACAATATAGCACAATATTATGCGGTAAGTCGGACTTAAACTCAATTAACGAAAATCTAAGACGTTATTCATAAAACAATGTGTGAATGAAAAGAAATTGATGGAAATTTATTCTGCAAAGCGATATATTCGCTTGATAATCCTGTTTGTTCTTCATTATTACGCCTTCTCCTAAAATGCTAATTCAATTTCTGTCTTGATTTAATTACGAGGGCAACTAACATCCGCAATTTTTTCAGGTGCGCGACCCGACTGCCGCAGCCAGTTATCCGAAGGTGAAGAAACCGGAGCCGTTGGCGTTTACGCGAGCAGAGCTCGCCGCACTGTACAAAAAGGCCTTGGAGAAAGGGTCAGCGATCAGCGTCGCCTCGTTGACGCAGGCACTCAATGCCGCGGGCGGCAACGGCAATGCGCTGCTACCGGCATCGCTGCTACCGGCATCGCTGCCGCAGATCGGCCAACTGCAGTCACCGACTAAATATCCGATGTACAATTATTACTTCTTCCCGTTGAAAAGCTTCGCGTCCGAGTTGCAGCGGGATCAACATCAGGCCGCGGTAAGCGAAAGTCCCCGTCACGTCCCCCGTTAGGCGCGATTTTTGCGGCTGCACGCAGCAGGTTTTACGCAAGCCTTAATGATCTTATGCAAAACACGCCGACACGAGAAATTACTTAACATTAAAGCGTCTATCATACAACTGGTTCTCTTCTGAATAATTGCAAAATATCTCCGATCCGGGATGTTGCTCTACCGCATATTTCTACTTCCGTTATCGTAGCATATAAGGTCTTCGTGTAAAAACCAGTATGTGACGTTCAATGAGTACGCGTAACGATGTCGATGATTCGTGTCATTTTTTTTTTGCAGATTGCTCCAGTGTTTGCGGCCACGGAAACCGCAGAGAGCCCTCAGAAGCAGCTCATGAACCCGCTCTTCGTGGCGATCGGCACGTTTATCAGTATGGCGCTTCTGTTCATGATGAGCGTGCTGTTTCTGCCGAAACTGCCGCAATTGCCGCAATTCGAGCTTTTCAATGCGCGCACCGACAACGACGACTTGATGCGCCTAACGGCTTTGGTGATGAATGCTATAGACGGACGCAATCGTTGGAAAAATTTTAGCACAGCTGGTTGAAAAATGTGCGTGATGTCGTATGAAATCAAAATTACCGCATTTTTATGTTAGAAATTGAAAGTATCTGTAAACATATACAAAAGATAATTTATAAAGATAGTATATTAAAGATAGTGAGAATAAAATATTTTGATCAATCATGGAACAGAAAAATAGCGAAAAGAATATTTAATGTATATATTAAAATGAAATAAGTGTCATTAAAAGAATACTATTAGTGCATATTTTCTTAGGAATTTAAATATATAAAGATGTAAAAAAATTGAAAGAGTATTTAGAATTAGCTGTGTTACGTTAAATCGGTAAGGATCAATGTAAGATCGGCGTTAACGAAAGTTATTTATTTAGTATAACATTGTCATATACTATACTTTATTTAAAAAATGCGATAAATTTTTGTACATAAATATTGATAGTATTAACCATGAAGATCAGTAACTAGAAATATGTCGATGAGAAAATACTATTAAATAGAACTATGCGAGTCTACAAATGTTGTGCTCTGTTGTAGTATGTGTACTACAGTAACAAAGGAAGTAGAGATAAATAATGCACTCCGATTGCTCGGGGAATGTGGACGTGTTACGTGTATTACGTGTGTGCGTGTGCGAAATAAATGAACATCACTTTCTACTTTGAGTATACATACCTACCTGTATTTCGCTAAATCCACCTCGACTTTATAATGTGAAAAAGACTTTTTAAACAAATCGCAGAATCTATACAGTATCAGAAGAACGTAGGGAAGGCACACACTGGGACACTATACGTTAAATGTATACTTCGCCCCGTATTTCCGTCTAGCGACTTAATCGTTAATCAGTCCGATTGGCAGTTTCTTTCTCCGCTGCTTTTCTTTTCAATATTTGTCTCTGATGCTCATACTCGAAATCCTCTTCACTTAAGTTTAATTTCTGAATCTGCAATAATAAGATTTATTTATTATAACATTTGTATAAATTTGTAATCTATAATCGAAATCTATAGATTTATAATTTAAGAATTTTTTAATAATTTAGTTTCCATAATTTTAAAGTAAATTACATTACATTTCTTTAAATTCAGTTTTATCACCATGCATGTTTAATATACTTTAACTTATTCTAAAAGACTAACGTTCGTATTTACCTGATAGATCAAAGCCTCTTCCTCCATGATATGTTGGGGCGGATTTCTTAGAACTTGAAGGGTTTCGTATGTCGTAGGGCAACGCTTAATAAGAGCCGTACGACCTAGACTGCCTTTCAACAATACTAAGCCTACCTTGAAGATTATTTTCACGCCCTCGCAAAGGAACATGTCCCATATGCGCAAAATACTTTCCCATGGTAAAGTTCGCGTGTAAACGCACAAGAACCATTCCGTCATGTACAAAATTGGCTCCATTTTTTGCTTTTTCTAAAATCACAATACATAATTATAAATTAACTTATTTTTATCTAGTTATATAATCACAACAATGTAATTAGTAACTGTAAATCTCAGTCATTTTAATAAGAAGTCACTCTAAAAGTTATATGTGTACTAACTAGATGCTTATATGCGACAGGGGAAACTCTCTTCAGAAGAGCGAATAGAATATCTCCGTCGCGCAGCAATGTTTCCATGCCCTGACTGTAGTAACCGATGAGATACTTATCGCATATCGCGACAAGACACCAGAACGCCTGTACCGCCGGCATGTGCATCAACAGGAACGCGGCAATAGGCGCTTGGGCTTGGCAGTAGCCTACTTTGCTGTTCAGAATGGAATACGCTTTGAGAACTTGGAACAGTTCCTGCTGTCCTGGTGCGTTGTCGACGAACATCTCATGATGCGGAAATTGACGATGAAGGTCCTTCTTAATATCCTCTATATACTTAGGATCGCCCGGCCTCTTGATCAGCTCCTCGTACAGATTCGGATTCTCGTTCATCAAGAGCTGACCGCCACAGAGATTCAGCCAGGCGCGCAGTCTCACGGACGGTGGTATACCCTTGCGACATCTCTCGCGGAACCTTGCGATAATTCGTGGTCATAAAGAGACTCCAGTTGTTCAACATCTGTATCCATTTTCTCTCCCTCCGCAGTATCACATCAGGTGGTATAGCTTGCTTCCTGCAATCAATTATTTTACTATGCTTATTTCACTTTACATTTATCATTTGTCATATTATCACTTGCGAAGAATTGGAAACTCCACCTTTCAGGACTGTATTGTGAACCACCCAGGAATCCATGCCGATCGGGTACAGTGGAGATCACTGAACCGCACTGGTATATACTGCTAACTTCAGACTCCAAATCCCCATTCAACTCCTCCTCCTCATTGCGCGACACAGTCGAGGCAGCCATAGCATTTTTCTACTTCTCTGAAAAATATTTATTAATATAAATGTTATTGTTGATAAATTTTAATGACATTAAACTAGATATATTATGTACAGTGCAGTCAATCGTATAAAATTTATTTTACGATAATCATATAATTGCACATTTATTTTAAATACATAATTTATTATTAATTTACATATTGTTTGTTGTATAATATATTTTACTTTTTAACGAGAAAAGATTACAACGATAAAATGGAAATCGCGTATAATGTTTTAAAATGATATTCCACACATTATTTCAAGTAGAATGTACATTTCGAAACGGTGCAAATAATACGTCGAAATAATTCCAGTGCAAACAATTCCGCTATCTAATTATTCCAACATGTACCAGATCCACACATGTGAAATAATATCCATCAACCAGTTGTGAGAGGATATCTCAACTTATCTCACATATCTTGCATTACTTCATCTCACGCCACTCACTATAGCATTATGGTATATTTACGCCTACTTCGCAATTGACAGTTTACGGTAGTTAGAGTCCACGTAGAGAGGATCAAGCCCTATTTCCCGTCTCATAAATATGCAGGAAGCACGATGAAGTACAGTTTTACAACGCCTGTTGTGGCAATTAATCACGATTCTACATTACGGTGGGGCAGCCGAAAACGACACGGCCTCTTTCCTTTTTTTTTCTTTCGCGTGGGACGCATGTAATCGCGCGTGTGCACATTCATCGCAAATATTTACCCATGCACGAGTGCGCGAACGCACCTCCGACTTACGCACGAATGGGCGTATCCTTTGTCGCAAGGATGACAGATACTTACCATGAATTTCTGCCAAATCTGACATTTCGAAGTGTCACGAGCGTGTCGCACGGCTCTGTTGTGTATACAGCAGACGCACGCGCGCCACGCACACACGCTATGCTCCGCTACGTCGCGTTGTACACAAAAAAAAGAACCCGTAGATATAGCTCTGAATATATTCAATTGTTTGGGCAAAGTTTATATGATGTTAAGAGCTACCTATCGAGAGCCAGTTTGTCCTGAAATCAGAGTCTTTGATTGGTCTAGAGAATTCACACTGATCCAATAAAAATGTGTTCTTCGGAGACATATTTGTTCCTAGAAAATAATTTTTTTTATTGGACAGCAAATGTACTTTAGATGCAGTATGAATCTTACATAATAAGATGATATATAGGAGGTATATATAAAAACATGATAAATTAAAATACAATTTGGCAAAAACTGAGCAAAATACGTCTGCAAATTGCATTTAACAGATTTTGCGCAGTTTTCGCAGACAATATCCTATTATATAGGCTGCAACGTCTGTCAGTAAAAGAGAAAGAATAAGGTTAGTTGATGCCAATATACTACAATTTCTTTTCAAATATACTGATAGTTTGTTTCACAATTTATATATTATAAACATTTAAGAAATACATATAAGTATAGAAAATACATAGAGTTGAAAGAAGAAAAAACACATTTAAGGAGTTGGGCATTGCGACATTTGAAACCTGCTCTGCATGTAACCTGACCAATAAAAACCCTGCAACGCGTGGATATCAGTGAGTATATTCTACTTTATATAGGCGCGATATACACGGTGTTCACTCCGATCAGTGCTTTCGGTAAGCCACTTTTTTTTCGCGTATATACGACCTACTGACGGTAGATACAGTAATGTATCGTAAAGTGCTATTTATTTACATGATATACATATCTACATTATTTAATATTTGCGATACATAGACATGTGTCGTGTAAACAAAAAGCGCCTACTGACTTTTTACATACTTTCACATATATTTTCGGAAATATTCTTTCAGAAAGAGTCACGCTGCACCTTTTTTTCTTCAGTTGATACTTCATTGGGATCGCGTTAGGGCCGTCTTTTTCATGCGCGAAAAAAGCGGCCTGCCTGAGACACTCAGAGAGCACTAACTCCGGTCTGCCTCGAATTGATTCAGTAGCTTTCGGGCTTTCGTAGCGGCTGGATTGACAGAAACGTGTGAATCGCTAGCGAGATATTCTTTCTACGCTGTCGGGGATCATCTTATCAAATCATGAAGTACATTCTGGTGACAGGCGGTGTGATCAGCGGTGTAGGAAAGGGTGTAATTGCCAGCTCGTTCGGCACTATTCTCAAGCACTGTAACATTCGCGTGACGTCCATCAAAATCGATCCTTACATTAACATCGACGCCGGGACGTTTTCGCCTTACGAACACGGTAAGTACGATATTAACTCGATATTACTGTAATACATTGCATACAGCATTTTTTAGAAATAGCATTTCTTGCTGGCGAGTTTGAAATCAGCATTACTCCAGTAAAATCAATTTTTTGTGCTATCGGTACGAAAAAATAAACCTTACGCCGATCGCAATAGTTACCACGTTGCCACGTTGCCACGAATTAACGCAGAAATCGTGTTTTAACTTCTGACTTTTTATCCTTACCGGTACGTAGATTTTTTATTTTCATATAATCAGTTGAAAGAAAATTAAAGGGCAATGTCTTTATGGCGGTAAAATTGCAGCCATGTGCTTGCACGCCATTTTGCGCGCTGCCGTCACTGTGCAGCCGATTATATAGTTTTTCCAGACGGGTTTGTATTCCTATAAAATGCAGAAAAATCAATAAATTATATATATAATATATGGAACGCAATAATAAAAGATTTTTTAATTTTAGGTTTATACTTGTATAATATTTTTATACACGTTTATGCAAATCTTGTTTGAATATACTTCAGGCTTCTTCCGGTTTAGCGCGCATTTCCTGTGTTCAATTGCAGTGGTAAAAAGAATTAAATTAACATTCCGTACTACGTGGGCAACCGGTGACTCACTATTCCTGTTCCGAACATTAAGTTATGATAAAGAAACATAATATTTTATTTTTTGTTTAGATTATTATTTAGTTATGTTGTTGAAAATATGATATTTAATAATGTTATCAAGAAAAACATTAGAAAATATTTTATATCACCAATAATTTATGATCTCATTTTCTTTTATAAATATTATAAGACATATGCTTTACAAATAAAATAAAAAATTATCTAAAATTAGCGCATAAAACATTTTAACTAATACTATGTTAGCAAACTATTATTGCTTTTTAAGTTTACTACTTTATTCATAAAGTAAAATAAAAGGAAAGTTTTGTGTTTGTGATAATGAATAAAATTATAATGAATAAAATTTAATATTATGTTCAAATTATCAAATTTTTATATAGAGAGTTTAATAACTATTGCAGATATAATATGTTTGTAAGACCACATCATTCTTTGGCTCTCATTCTTTTTATCATTCTTTGGTTTCAAATATCTAACGATACATGAAGCTTATCATCACTATCCTATTGTTTGATAAAGTAAGCAGAGGCATTCTTCGAAGATAAAACAGTTTTATGTTTCTGGTTTCTTATAGACACATTTTCTTTCATATTGTATATCGCTGACTTTCTTGTAATGCATTCTAAAAAAACAATTTTTTTTTACAACAGGAGAAGTATATGTGCTTGATGATGGTGGGGAAGTGGATCTCGACTTGGGCAATTATGAGCGCTTTTTGGACATCACTCTTCATAGGGACAATAACGTAACCACGGGAAAGATTTATCAACATGTTATTACAAAAGAGAGACGTGGGGACTACTTAGGAAAAACAGTACAAGGTACATATAAATACGTTCATAATATAAAAATTTAAACACAATATGTTGTACAAATTAAAAATAAAAAAATATTTTCTAGTGGTACCTCACATCACTGATGCGATACAGGAATGGGTGGAGAGAGTCGCAAATCAATCTGTAACAGAAGATGGAGCTAAACCAGAGGTATTGCTAATATACTAATTGTTATTATGTACAAATAATTCAATAAGATAAAAAATATTAATCTAAATAATTCATTTTATATGATATTTTTACACAGAAATGTCTGAACTATTTTAATCGTATAATTTACAATTTTTTACAGGTTTGCATTGTAGAATTAGGAGGCACTATTGGAGATATAGAAGGCATGCCATTTGTTGAAGCATTTAGGCAGTTTCAATTTAGGGTGAAAAAGGAGAACTTCTGCGTCGCACATGTATCTTTGGTGCCACAGGTAATAACATTACACATCAGGATCTTCACATTCCTTCCCACACAGCACACACATCCAGAAGATATTCCGAAGATATCTTTGAGAGATATCTTCGGGATGTCCCTTGATTATCCGCCGGATATGCATGCTGTGTGGGTGCTTAAATATTTCTTCTATAATTTTACTATGTGTTTGAAGATAAGTGCATGAATAAGTTTTACGAAATTCGATGAATAAATTCATACATTTTTATGAAAACAATTTCTAACACATAAGCAATTGCTAACACATAAATATTTTCTAGCCGAGATCGACGGGTGAACACAAGACAAAACCAACTCAGTCCAGTGTGAGAGAGCTACGCGGATTGGGTTTATCGCCGGATCTGATAGTGTGCAGATCAGAAAATGCTATTGGCAATTCTGCTAAAGAGAAAATTTCGAATTTCTGTCATGTCGCTCCGGAGCAGGTAATTATAAAAAAAATATCTCTTTAGTATTGCCAAAAAAATTAATATTTTGTTATATAAAGACAATAAAACATTAAATAATACGTTATTTGTTTCACAATCTGATTAGGTCATAACTATTCATGACTTATCGTCGATATATCGAGTGCCGCTTATCATGGATCAGCAAGGTGTCATAGAGTTCCTCAATGATCGATTGCAACTGAATATTGGAGTGCCCCGTCCACGCTGCTTCATGCGAAAATGGCGAGATTTAGCTGAACGTGTGGATCATCTGCGAAAAGACGTTAATATTGCTCTAGTAGGCAAATACACAAAACTCGAGGACTCTTACGCCTCTGTTACGAAAGCGTTGCAACACGCTGCCATTGAGGCCGGATATAGACTGAACTTGACGGTAGAGTGTCGCAATTATCTTAGATATATAATTGTACAAATGATTATACATCTTTTTTCTGATTATATATTTATATAATTATTTTACAGTTCATAGAAGCTGCTAATCTAGAACAAGTTACGCTCATGCAATCACCAGTTTTATATCACGAGGCTTGGCAACAGCTTTGCAAAAGCAAGTAAGTATTTCAACATAATATTTTTATATTCTGTCTAAATACATTTATAATGCGTAATAAATAATTTTTAATTGCACAGAATTATATTATTATTACTAATACAACTTTAAAATATATTTTGTCGCATCTAGTGGCGTTATTGTACCTGGCGGCTTCGGAAAGAGAGGAATGGAGGGGAAGATGGAAGCATGCAAATGGTGCAGAATGAACGACAAGCCGTTCCTCGGCATTTGTCTGGGCCTGCAAGCGGCGGTTATTGAATTCGCGCGTAACGTATTGAATCTTCACACGGCGCATACCACAGAAATGGATCCAAATACCAATTATCCTGTAGTGATAGACATGCCGGAGCACAATCAAGGGATGATGGGAGGAACTATGAGGCTTGGCAAAAGACAAACGCGGTTTTATAATAATAACTCTATGTTGAGTAAGCAATAAAATTCACTGAGATAAATATATTTTTTTTTTTTGTTGACTTTACATTTATAAATATCTATTCTTTTGCAGAGCAATTATATGATAATAAAGATGTCATAGAAGAAAGGCATAGACATAGGTATGAAATAAATCCAGATTATATTGATAATTTAGAAACAGCTGGCTTAAAATTCGTAGGTAAGTTATACTGTGTTTTTCTAAACATTATGTTGAATAATATGTAGTTTTATTCGTACATAATTAATGCGAATTGTGATCTTATATTTTTTAGGTCGCGACGATGAGAATAAACGGATGGAAATAGCTGAGTTGGAAGGACATAGTTATTATGTAGCTACTCAGTTTCATCCCGAGTATCTGTCGAGGCCATTAAAACCATCGCCACCATTCCTTGGTTTGATTTTAGCCAGCGTGGGCAAACTGAAATATTTCTTAGCGCGAGGATGTAAATTTTTCGCCTCGCCAATTGAGTGATAACGAGTCAGGTAAAAGAATAAATGTATATTATTTTATGTTTCTTTTTACTTTGTACATGCAACAACTAACATGTGTGTGGATTGTTGCAGATGATGATTACATGATCGAAGAAGTAACAAAACTGCACTTATCTAGTGGTACAAGTATGAGTGGTAGTAGTACGTCAGGTGTAAATGATTAAATTACAATTTTATTCTTGCAAATATTTATCTCAGCTTATTTCATTGTCTCGAAATTTGATCTATCATTGTTTAATCTCTTTCCTATTTCCATAATTCACGGTCAAATGGGACAGATAGATTTGATACACATACATGAATATGCGTGCTTGTAATATATATTGACAAGATAAATCGGGATTCTAGCTTCAAAATAAAATCAATACTAGTCTAACTCATAAGACAGTAGTTAGTGGACAAATATACGTATTACAATATACAATCACAGTTTGTGATAATCTGCAATTTATATCTTAAAGTGGAAATCAAGCGTTTCTATTACTTATAAATATATATTCGACGATAAACAAATTTAGAAGAAAAATTATTTTATTAAAACTCATGTTTTGGAATATGCTGGGAATTAATATTATAATTTTAGTAAGCTAAAGTGAAATAAATATTTTATAAAGATTAATGGAATGTATACGAATAGTTTTTATGATATTATAAGTGATTCGAATCATATATTTGTGAAAAGTCTTCAGTATAGAATTTATTTCTTATTTTAATGTACCAATTTTTCATAAATGTGATCTTATTGATGTTCTTAAATTGCATTGTAATTGTGATTATATTTTCATTTATATACAATACTAATATACAATGTAATTGAATTTTATTAGACATTGTAAGTTTATATTTTGTAATAAATTCTGTTTGTCAGATTTTCTTGTGCATGTGTGTAATCCTAATAAAAAACAGAATTTTTTATTATGTGCAAAATATTATAGCATAAAATTTAAATTTAAACATTATTATTTTTTTCTGTATTTTAAAACAAATATAAATTTAAATTTTTAATAAAAGACGAAAAAAATAAAGAAAGTGCATCCGCGAAATAAAACTTAAAAATTTTAAAATTTGCGGGAAAGTGTAACTATATATGTGTTGAATTTAAACTTCTCTCTCTAGGTGAAATGAAACTTGATTCGTCGATTTTGGACAAAACACATTTGTGAGTAGAATTTTCACTCAACACGCATACCTTTCTTATTATCAAAATTCTATGACAAAGTAGCCTTTACAAAGTATTCCCGCCAAGTGTCATGGCTTTGACTTGATGGCGTGTTGAGGTTGATTCTCAATTTCGCATGTTTATTTCAATAATCACGAAGACAAAAAACTACGCTGACTTGTTTCGATTATAATTATACTGTGTCTACATCAATAATATATAACAAATAATATATAACATTTTTTTTAGCGGTGGAAGTATATCGGCAACATGGTAAAGTTTTAATTATTTCATTACACATATACACACATATATACACACACACATACACAAACACAAACACATTCATATGTAGAAAGAAATAAACAACGTGATACAATTATGGATGGAAATAAGAAAAGTTTCTGATTACTGTAAAATGTTTAAAATTTAATATAATTTTTAATATTTATGTGCATTTCCAGAGTCAACTAAGCTCTCCAGTACCCTCTGATCGAAATACTGATGCTATGACCTCTCCTGCACCTGATATAGATGAACCATTTGAAGATGAACCTGATTTACTTGATGAAAACAATGTTAATAATGAGGAAGATGAAGAAGGGGAGGAGTTGTTTGGAGATAATATGGAGGCGTAAGAATATTGTATATTTTTAAAACATTTGTTTTAACATAACATATATAGAAATATTTTATAATAATTATAAGCCAAGATTGGTAATAATTAAAGAAAAAACATTAAATGTTACTTGAAAAAATAATTTAATAATTTTGTTAAACTATTTCCGTTAAAGATAAGAAACCTTTAAATATAACAAAACTATACTTTGTTATGATAGAGATTATCGGCCTATGTCAGCATTGGACAGATATGATGACAACTTACTTGACGATGAAGATTACTCAGAGATGTCTCAGGGTGAACGTATAGCTGCTGAAGTAGAAATGCGAAAAAGAGATCGCGCAGCTGGTATCATAAGAGACGATCGTGATCTGCTTTATGGTAATTTTTTCACTTTCTACACAAATCAATAAGCTACATAAGTACTACAAAGCAATGAATAAAACAATTTTCATATAATCATCTATAAAAATTAAATAAACATGTCAATAAAGTTATACATATTTTTAAGCACACGTTTTCTTTTATATTTGTAGATGAAACTGATGAAGAAGATGTGCAGGCACGCAAGCGACGTATGGCTGAAAAAGCTGCTTCTGGTATATTAGAAGATGTAGAGGTAACTGTTTTGTTGTTGTATTGCATCCAAGTATTTTGTAACAACTTAATAATGAATTCTTGGCTTATTTCAGATGGTCGAATCTATCGAAAATTTGGAAGACACTAAAGGACACTCAGTAAAGGAATGGGTTATGATGCTGGGACCACGGACAGAAATTTCGAATCGCTTTAAAAGTTTTCTACGTACTCATACAAATTCCAAAGGACAATATATGTATAAAGAACGTATTCGTCACATGTGTGAAAGTAATCAGGTATTTATTAAATCTTATATGAAAAACTTAATTAAAAATATTATTTTATTTTATTTCTTAGTTAATTTATTATTTTTTATTTATAATATCTTGAAATAGGAACTAATATCATTTTAGAACTTCAGATTAAAAATTACTTACTATTTTATATTATGTATAAAATTTTCTTATTAAAAAAATGAGATGAGATTGTGTTCTTTTTCCAAGATATATTTATTTTTATTTCAATGTTTTAATTTCAATATTTCTTTTATCTTTATTTTAATAGTCCAGTTTCATAGTGGAATTTCCCATTCTTGCTAGTAAGGAACATGTTTTGGCCTATTTTTTACCAGAAGCACCGTTTCAAATGCTCGAGATTTTTGATGAAGTAGCGAAAGAATTAGTACTAACAATTTTTCCCAGTTATGAAAGAGTTACATCAGAGATTCATGTGAGAATATCGGAACTACCATTGATTGAAGAACTACGCACGTTCAGGTGAAGATCTATAATTATATATGTTTTAATTAATATTTTATTCTGCAATTTTAATAATATAAGTAGCATATAAAATACGAATTTATTTATTCTATTAATAATAGAAAGCTCCACTTGAATCAACTGGTTCGAACTCTCGGAGTTGTGACCGGGACAACAGGAGTTTTGCCCCAATTGTCAGTAGTAAAGTACGATTGTACAAAATGCGGTTACGTTCTCGGACCATTCGTTCAATCGCAGAATACAGAAGTCAAACCAGGCTCGTGTCCCGAGTGTCAGAGTGTCGGCCCATTCATGGTAAAGAGTTTTACATTCGAATTTTATATTGCCACTATTTAAAAACTATTCCTTTTACTTACGTAAAATATATTGTATCTTAGATCAATATGGAGCAAACTGTATACAGAAACTACCAAAAGATAACGATACAAGAATCCCCGGGTAGGATACCTGCTGGCAGAATACCGCGTAGCAAAGATTGCGTTCTGCTGTCCGACCTTTGCGATCGTTGCAAGCCAGGCGACGAAATAGACGTTACCGCTATTTACACCAATAACTACGATGGTTCTTTGAACACTGAACAGGTCAGCCTAATTTTAATATTAATCTATTTCGTAAATTTCATAAACATGTGTTAGAAAAATAATTCTGTAACTAATTGCAATTTTTATATAAAAGTCTAATTTGTTTCACTTTCCTCTGCACAATAGGGCTTTCCGGTGTTCTCCACGGTATTATTAGCCAACCATCTGTTCGTGAAAGATTCGAAAGAAATCGTAGATTCGCTGACAGAAGAGGACATCTCGAGTATACTCACTTTGAGTAAAGATCAACGCATTGCGGATCGCATAGTCGCGAGTATGGCGCCTTCGATTTACGGACATGAAAACATCAAGAGAGCCTTGGCACTGGCGATATTCAGTGGCGAGCCGAAGAATCCTGGTAATTTTCCCCCCTTCGAATCGTTTTATCAGCCTAAATATATTTTTTCTCTTGTTATATACATTAAATATTGCGTGTGCAGGTAACAAGCACAAAGTTCGTGGCGATATAAACATTCTGCTGTGTGGAGATCCCGGCACCGCTAAATCGCAATTTTTGAAGTATGTGGAGAAAGTGGCACCGAGAGTCGTCTTCACCACAGGTCAGGGCGCCTCGGCCGTTGGTCTGACCGCTTACGTGAGGAGGTCGCCAATCAGCAAAGAATGGACTTTGGAAGCTGGAGCTTTGGTTCTGGCCGATCACGGGATATGCCTTATTGATGAATTCGATAAAGTACGAATTTATATGACTAGTGACATATTCATTGACGATATCACAAATATAAATACTTTAATAATTATTATAATTATTATTTATAGTTTCTATATTAAATGTAATGTGATAAAAATAGGTATTGAAGGGGCACGTTTCATAATTTCCATTTTTTCTAGATGAATGATCAGGACAGGACGTCTATTCACGAAGCTATGGAGCAGCAAAGTATTTCTATTTCTAAGGCCGGCATTGTCGCGTCTCTTCACGCCAGATGCGCAGTGATAGCGGCATCTAATCCTATCGGTGGTCGATACGATCCTAGCATGACTTTTTCGGAAAATGTGAGCACTTGTCAAAACTTTGAATCTTGCGTTTTCATAAATTGTAGCTCGTAAAAAATTATATATGAGAGCAAATTTTATAATTACACATATTATATATATTACATTGCATACAGGTGGATTTATCAGAGCCAATTCTCTCGCGATTCGATGTATTATGCATAGTCAAAGACGAGGTCGATCCCATGCAGGATCGTCATCTGGCCAAGTTTGTCGTTAACTCGCACATCAAACATCACCCGACAAGCACGGAAAGAACGCAGGCCGTGGAATTGGATCCCGCCCTGCAGAGTCTATTAATTCCACAAGATCTTCTTAAAAAGTATATCGTTTACGCAAAGCAGAACGTACATCCAAAGCTGACCAGCATTGATCAGGATAAAGTGGCGAAATTGTACAGTCAGTTGAGACAGGAAAGCTTGGTGAGTTAGTAAAACAAAAATGTCATCTGTTAATACATATTCTTAAAAAAATAATGAAATATTAAATGTTAATCAAATTTGATTACGTGTTGCAATATTGTTCTTATCATTAACATTGCATTACAGGCGACTGGAAGCTTGCCGATCACTGTGCGTCATATAGAAAGTATAATTCGTATGGCGGAAGCCAGTGCTAAAATGCATTTAAGGGATCACGTTCAAGAGAGTGATATGAATCTCGCTATCAGAATAATTCTCGACAGTTTCGTCGACACGCAGAAATATTCAGTCATGAAATCTATGCGTCAGGTATTCTTCCATTTTTCTTTTTTTTTGTCTTTTCCACTTTCTAACTACTTTTAATTGTCGAAACTTGAACTTTTTTTGACAACATATTTCGTTACAGACGTTCCAGAAATATCTGTCGTACAAGAAAGATCACAGTGAACTCTTGTATTATATACTACGACAAATTACTTTGGATACTTTGGCGTTTCAAAAGGCTTTACATGGCGGACGCATTACGACTGTCGAGATTTCTGAAAAGGATTTGGTTGAACGGGTAATAGAAATAATGAATTTAGTTGCAGATTATTTAAAAACAACTTAGATTTTTCACCTTATGACTTTTCAATATCTAATTTATACAAAAATTTTTCTTAGCTTAATTATTTTTAAGTCAAGGTGCTAGAATAAAAATCTTTCATGTTTATTTAAATGTTAAATAAATAGGAGAACTTTTTCCTATGCAGAAAATACGATTTATTGTAATTTTACATAAATATCCATTTTTTATGTTCACAGGCGAAACAAATTAATATACATAATCTGCATCCGTTTTATGAGAGTGAGATATTCAAGGCAAACAATTTTGTTTACGAGCCAAGAAGGAAAGTGATAGTGCAAACTTTGCCAGAAGGCATCGAAGATTGATTTGAAAAAGAGCGACGTATTTTTACACATATATTTAAGTCATATGTAAACAGTGGTTTTTTTTTAAATCTATTTCACGTAACGAAACTGTTTTTTTTTATAATCTATTTCACGTGTAACATTTTTATATCATTATCAGCATCAAACTATTTGATAAAATGATAATACAATCTGTATTGTTGAACACTTACGTAATCATTATGATCCTATCGTTAATTAAATTATTTCTTAATAAATCAAGTGGTTATCATTTCTATCACATACAGAGTGCGTATAATAGTAGCAAAAATAATATATTATATTTAAATATCGATTCTGTAACATCTAGCGACAGATCTCTTGACAATCACATTCAATATTAAAACTTTTAGTTTTCATAAAAACAACGACAAGGGATTAACACTACTTACAATGCTATCATATAATGCACAAAAATAATCCCGTAAAAAAAGAAAATCTTACTAAACAAATATTTTATACATTGTACTTATGCATAGTGATAAAACTTTACCATCACTACTTATGTATTTTATGTAAAAATTAAATTAAAATGTGATAGAAATATAATGAATCATCCTTAATCTAAATTACAAAATAAAAAAATAATAAAAAGTTTCATCTCAAACATCTTTTACATGTGTATTTATGCAAAACAAGAATTTTTTATTCTTATTCTATTTCACAAGAATTGTACATCTAGAAAAACGGAATAGAATGGTTCGGAATAAACTTTTCAGCTTACTTTTTAATCTGTGTTATTCTTTATATGAACCGTAACTGCTACTACTGTTACTAGTGCTGCTACTGCTACTACTGCTACTAGATATACTATCACTAGAGTCTGATTCACTGTCGGATGAAGAACTGCTACTACTAGTTTCAGTACTACTAGAATCGTCACTGCTTTCACTGCTGGTAGAGCTATCACTTGAACTACTGGATTCCTCCCTTTTCATTTTCTTCTTGACGACTTCTTTTCTTTCCTTAATGTACACCTGACTAAAAATATAATAATGCATTTAGAATTTGTGCAGACGTACAGAATATTTTATCTCAAATATGTCAAGACTATATGTCTAAAATAATCCGACTTGAATATCTTCAATACCTTAGAATCAAACAACAATAGATTAAAGATGGAAAAAGTATTTTTTCTCAAATGATTTAAGACATCTCAATCGAGATGAAACACTACATATAACAGAAGAATTCAGAGGACATACGTATTGCCGTCCTGTGGCTTTTGCATTGCCCTCTTCAGCTGCGAAGTGCGAGAGGGTCTGTGCAAATATTTCCTTTTGCCCTTGCATTCAAAACTATAATGTCCGAATTCCAAACACTTCTGACAACGTATCGTTGACGGAGTTACTGAGATACTGAAATAAATATAAAGGGAAATCAAAAGATTTGTACATGATGCATCACCATTTTCACATTGTAACTCACATCTAATCAGTTAATCATTACTGTCTAATCATATAGAAATATCTCAAGGTTATGAAAAAAGTTTATATGATTAAAAAATTAGAAACTAAGTACTCACGAATTTTTTTTCCACACTTTTATGTAGAATTTCGAACTCATGGTTAGTTTGTCGTTACTTCGAATAGATTTCAAAACAACCGATCACGATGCTAATGAACCACGTTCCTAATGAATTTACCTTAGAACCACTTCGAACTTTGTTTACATATGAAGGTATTTCATTCGTAAATTATCGTAATAGCTGTGGTTTTCAATACGCGTCAGGACGACTATTCGTCGATTCGATAGAAACGTTTGCTTATTGGTCGAAAAAAATCTCACTTATGACAAAGAGAACTTTACGAGCTAATCGAAATTTTTGTAAGCTATTGTTAAAATTTGGTTAGGCTATGGAATACTGTGCACAGCCGCACAGCTAAAACTTTGTTTCATTATTTAGAAAATGGCGCAAATGATAAACCAATACTGCTCAGAAAATGTCGCTTCCACAAGCGATGCGAAAAGCGCTGCTTCTAATTCTCTTCTGATCAAATATGGAAATAAAAATGTAGAACTAAAAATTATGCAGGATGTAATGAGTATGTACGAAAATAATCTCTTGGAGAAGGAAAAAATATTAGAAGAAGAAAAACGAAAACTGGTAATAAACTCTCTCTCTGATTAGACTGATAAAATTCTAATGAAAAAATTATTAATTACGTGTTAAATAAATTTATATTTTGCTGATTTAATTAAACTCTCAATTAAATTGATTAAATTTTATTAATTTTTAACGTGTTAATTATCAAACACCTAATATAATTCATTATTTATTAGTCGTACAATAAAATTACTAAACTGTGATTATATATTTTGTTTTTAATAGGAGGAATTAAATAATCAAGCATGGTCCGTAGAAGACTCATTTTGCAAGGAAGTGTGGCAATTCTCGAAGGAGCATGATTTCTCTGTTATCTTTGAACAATATCCTTTTGTTATGCAAATTGATTGTGTAAAGCAAAAAATCAATAATGAAGACAGTAGGGTTATATATAGCAAAAATTAAAAATTAGAATTTAGAGCAATCGATTTTTTCATTTATTAAACCAAAAATAATTCTGTTAGACGTGGAAAAGAGTTTTGAGCTGATTGATCTCATAAAGGAAATTGATGTTATTCAAGCGGAAATATGTAGTCTTAAAAGAAAAAATGTGAAATGTGAGGTGGAAAGCGCTTTAACATACTTACAAAAATTACAAATAACTTCAGAAGATATTAAAGAATTATTGAAGTATATATAATATTTTTATACATAAATTCAATTTACGATTAATGCTCTAAAATAATTACAACTTTGGTAAAATTTCTTATTTAATTCTAGTCTCATTAGTCCTTCAGAACTTACGTGCAGACTTGCAGCAATATCAATACCTGTACACGATGAAATAATTCCTGATAGTGAAAATAAAGTCAGACGACGTAAGAATGATTCAGACTGTGAAGGTATGCAATCATTTTAATATAATTTTTTATTTATGTATAAACTACTTTTAAATTATTTATTATAATCAAGTAGTGCAATATTTTTTTGCTAATTATTTTCATCAATGTTCTACTGATTTTTATATCATCAAATATGATCTTTTTACAATTATTTCGCAGATTTAAAAATTAAGAAAATACGTGGCAATCAAAACGAGTCGTCGGTGAAAAATAAATCATGCTTGAAAAGTGGCAAGTCGAAAAGAAAAGTAACAATTGCGACTCCTAATAATTATTCTCAATTGCCGATTGAGAGAAGTATCATATTAACTGCAGAAATGAAAAAACCGCAGATCATGAACGCATTTGTAAAAGTATGTGCAAAATTACTTGCTTTCTATTTAAATGTTTTATATACACCATAATAAAAATGAGACATATTTTCAATAATTACAGCTCACAAATATCGAAACACAGAAATTACAAAATTTTACTCCAAAGAAACGCAGTGAAATTTCTATCAAATTTGAGCAGAGTCGTGAATATAAATAATAATTATTATCATTAGTAATTAGAAGTCCATCACAGAAATTGGAAAGATTAAAGATAATTAAGAAAGTGGAAATAAATTGTAATTATAAGAACCACGTTTACATTGTACATTGTATAATCTAAAAATTAAATTAATAGGATTATTTAAAGGAAGTAAATACATTACCTCCCACTTTCCTGAACGTTAGGATCGGAGAGATCCTCAAAGAAGCAAAGATATTGATTTCGGGAAAATATTCCATAATATATTTGTGTATTTAGAAATGTTTATACAGCGTCTTGTATAATGTAATGTACACTGAATTACAATTAATATTACATTCTCGGAATTATACACAATATCGTGTGTTGCGCAATAGACTATTCAACAAGTGTTTATTATCTCAGAATAGCATATTGTGCGTTTGCAATCGTCATATAAATTTATCGCTTGCAAACCACAAGGACTATGTGCTATCTATCAATTTGTGTACCTCATTTTGTTTCTTCTTTAAACTGTTTAACAGTTTATCACAACGGATCGTATTATATCACCGATCTTGGCAACTTGCATATAAATAGCTCGATGAATTTTCCACACGTAAAGACTTTCATTACAACACCTAGAGGCTAATTTGTTAAACGGTCGCCATATCGGGTCCTTTGGATAATATATAATTTATATCATTTCGTAAAAATATTAATTAACAATATCCTTTAAAACTGCAGACTTATATATGTAGAATATATTAATATATTCCTGCTTTCCTGCTATTCACGAATGTCACATTCCAAATTTATAAAATTTCCATATGTGCTTCTCTTAAAATGTAACTTACTGTTCTTAATTAAATTTTTTTTTATTTTAATTTATACCTCGATATCATGATGTTTATTTTGTAACAGTGAAGGTTGATAATTGGAAATGCTTAAAATAAAACATTGCAAAAATGCTAACGCACACCTCCGCAATTCTAAATAACGTAGCGCGTAGAATATATTAAAAGCAACAGTATATAGATGTATAAAACTATATTACTACTAAAATTCAATGGCTTCTACAAAAATATAATGCACATTATTTCCTGCTAAGTAAATTATGTGTCTTTAAACCACGCCTTTTTCTAATGCCAATAAATCGCTCATGTTCTCGACAAGATATATTTCACTATTAATAGTTCGTGTAAGTGGGAGCCCACATGACGACCGTTACATTGCAACCTTTATCCTATATAATACAATGAAAGGAGTTTTCACACTCTCAGACTTAAAATATTTGACATATTAATCAGCAAGAACCTTTGCAACTTTTTCTCCTGTCGTTCGATGTACATTTCTAAAATTTACTAATTAATTTTCACAGTATTCTCCTGCGCAACCTGTTCGTATCATTGTAACAAATTACAAAATAAACGTCTGCCAACTTGTAAAGACCGCGAAAACGTCTTTACAAAAAGTCTTATAAAGTCTGCAGAAACGAGAACAAATCTCCCCCCAACGCTTGCTAATTATTTTTAATTTAATATCCGATTATATATATATATGTGTGTGTAATTAAAATGTATGTACAATCTCATGCAGAGAACCGGTAAATTAATCTATTTTACACGAATCCGACGATTCGTCAGCGACAAAGATTCTTACAGACTTTAAAACAGAAAACCGGGAAATAAATTTTACATAATGTTTGCGAGGTGCAAGAACGCGAATAATATGTGCTTTCTCGATAAAAACATAGATACATATATAGACATACATAAAATATATGCTCATATAGAAGCGACATTCGCAACGTATTACACATTAACCTCAGCGTGGGAGAATACTTTCACTGACTTCGTTTTTAACGGAGAATTTGCTAAGTTCCATTTTCTAATCTAATTGTAAATCCGAGGGTCTTCCTCGTCCGCACGATTTACAATTTGTATTTGGAATAACAGATAATATAGATGCTAGATCGCGGAATTAGCAGAAACTGCAAAACGTCTAATGTAACGATAAAATTAGCAAATTATAAATTACAACAGCGAACACTTCGTAACATTAAAGATCGAAGAAAAATCAGGATAACATCTATAATCGCAAAATTGATTACAGAATTAATTCATCACTTCTGGTAGACATCGACGAAAATATCTGTATAGTTAGAATTGCTGTATAATGAAAAATAGCAAAGTGACTAATATAACAATCGATATCTAGAGACAATTATGGCGCTTGAATATAAATTTTCTCATAGCTAGAGGGTAGTTGCAATTTTTTAGCGACGTTTGAACAAAATATACCTTTCGATTCTTGGACAATAGAGATTATGATGACATGACACACACCTCTTTCTTCTCACAAAATTAATATCTCAACTATGGAGATTTTTACAGTACGAGATGTTAACTAATTATTATAACGTTAACAATTGATATATTGGCGATTACTGATTGCAATAACTATTGAATACCAAGTCATAATACTTGATTTCAAATATGTGTTCAATCATGAATAAAAAATTGCTGTGATTTCTCTATTAACATTTGAGAATATTAATCTCACAAATATTTTAATGTAAAACAAGATATGTAATTTCAAAATTGTACAAAAAAAGTTTAGATAAACATATTCTTGTGTATTAACAGAAATCATGATATGATTTTTGATCTGATTGAATATACATCTGATTGAATACATATTTGAAAATAATTATGACTTATTATTCAAATGTTATTACAAGACAAACAACAATCTCAATTGTTCGCACATTTAATGCTAAGCAAAACTGTTTGATTTCGAAAGAAAAAATTAATTTTATCATTATTGATTATTTAATTAAATTAGATAGTCATGTTAAATATGCGATAACAATGGAGACGTGATACTTAAGTAAACCGCGTAAGACACTATCAAAAACAATATAATAAGAATGGATTCGCTATTGGCATTCGCAAATTATGACGATACAGCATAATATATACATATGCGATTACATTTAACAGATATAGATATAGAATGTAATCTAACAACATATACACAAATGAGAAGACTATTCAGAATGAAGAAATCAATAAGCCGCAAGGATCCTCGAAGAATTCATGACCTATAGATCTATAGGCACATTGTTATAAATGCAAGCTTGTTTATGCGATAGAGATATATAATAATACTTATCCAGAATTAATTAATAATATAACGCGCAATAATAAAATATCCATAAATATATATATATA